CCGTCGGGATGCCCAGGCTGGTGGGATGGGTCGGGCTGGAGTGGGGTCACCCTCCTGGCTCACCCCAGCATCCCTCCCTGGCCCTGTATCCCTCCGTGGCTCTGCGCGGTGTTGCCTGGGGACGTTGGGGTCTGTGTGCAGCTGCCCGGGAGAGAGCAGAGGGCTCGGGCTTTGCCCTGCAGCTCCAGCAGCGCTGTGGGTAGTGCTGGATTGCCGGTGTGATGGGAGACGGGATGGTTGGGGTCTGCACGATGCCTTGTACCCTCGTGCTCCTCTGTTGGGGTAAGCTCAGCATGTGAGCAGCCGGAGGAACTCTGTGCCATTTGTGTTGCGGTGCAAGAGGTCAGGGCTGCACTCCCGAAATAAAAGCTTGCTATTTCTCTTTACATGTATAAACCATCCCTACTAGAAGATTTGGCAGGAAGTGCTCTTTCCTTTATAAATTCTTTTTTCTGCTGGGACTTTTTAGTTTCTTACTCCACTTAGGCTGTGGCTTCCCGCAGGCTGGCACTTGCCATCTCGCAGCAGGCTGGGAAAAGCCAAGCTACCTGGCCACATTGCCCAGCCCGAGCAGGTAATGCTGGCTGGCAGTAAATTGGGAAGGGGGCTGGCCAGAAGATTTGGAAAGGGGAAGCATAAAATCCTGTCCTTTGCTTCTCCCGGGGGATATGGTTATCATGCTGACGAGATCCTCAAGTGAGGTTGACTTAGGGAAACAAAACGGGTGTAAAACAGTTCTGAGCGGCAGGAAGGCATCTGTCACATGCTGTTGTCCTCCAAGCACATGTGCTGTCAGGGGAAGAAAAATCACAGATTTGGTGTCTAATTGTGTGCTGTGCCCTCGGGGTAAGGCTGCGGCTCATCGGAGGGTGTCAAAGTGTTATTTTCCCCCTTTTGTCGGGGTTGGGAGGGTTCCTCTGCAGAGGCCATCACCTGCCCGGTGGCAGGCACTGTGCTGCAGAGAGCAAAACAGCTGAGGAGTTGTTTATGGAGCAAACTTAAACCTGCTTTGCAACTGTTACCTGGGAAAGACTGTTCAAGCTCAACTTTGCAGCCTTTGCTCCTGGGATATCTGAGCCGATTGTTGTTTTACTGCCAGCATCAGCTCATCCCTTACCTGTGGGGAGGCTACTAAGCATCTCCCCTTTGAAATCCCATGTGCCTCTTCCATGCCAGGTTTGGGTGACCTGGTTTGGGGGCTGAGGAGTGGGATAGGGCATCAGCAGCCCCTCGGTCTGCTCATGGCTCATCTCTGCTCCATGCTGCTGGTCTGGCTGCATTAATGCCGTGGTGCATATTAGTCTTTGTTAGCTCCTCTTTCTCTTATTTGGTATCCGGTGGCACGCGTTACTGCCAAGCACACTCCGTACGAAACCCAGCTTCCGAATTCGTGGGTTCTCCAGCAGCCCTTGGCCAGACACAGAATGCAGATGGCTTAGGCAATTACTCTATCCTTTTATTAGATTGCTGGAGATTAATTAAATGCTTACACTCCTTTAGTTCCTTTTATCCCCAGGAATCCTGGGCACTTATACCCGGGCAGCTCTTGTTGCAGCCAGGCACTCAGTGCGAGTCACAAAAATGCGGAACTCTGATTTAGAGCTGAACTTTGGGGGAAGATTAAAGAAGTAAAATGCTCATCTGGGGTGTTGGGACTTGCGTGCCTGTCTCCTAAAATCCTCCTGGGATGGCTGATAGTGCGGGCAGCAGGGATCCTGGTGTTACAGCCCTCAGCAGCTGGATCAGTGCTCAGTGCTCCAGCAGCCTGAGATTCCTGACGAGCTTGCTTGGGGCTCACTGCAGGGGGGTAATGTGGGCCTGAGTCAGTATGTGCTGATTTATTGTTTCAATTTGTAATTTTATTTTTACACTCAGACCTGCGCTGTCTCTGCTGTCTTTAAGTGGCCCGTGTGGTGGATGTAGTGTGTGTTTTGGTACATCAACAGCAGCTGGCGTCCATGCCGTTGTCCCCCTTGCCTCTCTCCTGAGGGAGTCCTGGCATCCCAGGGTGGGTGTGTGGCCACAGGCAGTCAGGATTTGCCCCCTTGTCAAGCAGAGAATGATGGACTCACCCTGAAGCAAATGATGCCATCGCATGTGATGCGATGCTGTCAGGAGGCTTGTGCCTCTCATCCCCACTGGAGCCACTTGAGCCATATGCTCTGGCACAGGGACACCGAGGCAGAGCAAAGTGTCCTCTAAGGATTATGTTAATCCATTTTCTGGAGATAAATCCAATAGTTGGAAAATCCCACTCCATCTTCCTATGAACAGTAATACATTTCACACTTTTGGATCTGTTTTCATTGGCTACCTCTCTTGGCACCAAACCCCTCTGTATCCCAGAGGTGCCTCGGTCAGGCTGCTGGGAATTGGAGGAGCTGACTCCAAGGAGAGGCAGGACATTAGTTTTCTTCTGCATCTTGCAGTCTGAATTGTTGAATAAAATCAAAAGCCTGGCCTCTTGGGTTAGCTGAAGCATTCGGATGAAAGAGCTGGGAGCTGCAGCATGGTGCAGGGGAGCAGACAGAAATTCCCACTTGTGCAGTGGTTTTCTGATTAAATAAATGGGGATGTTAAAACACCTCCTGTCCTCCATGAGGAGGAGGAGGAGAGGGATGTGAGCTTACTCCTTATCTTCCCAAGGCCTTGCTGCTGCAGGACAAAACCCAAGGGCCACCTTGTGCAACACTAGCAATTCTGTGCATTCAGAAATCATGACTCAGGCTACTCCAACGCCTCCAGAGAGATCAGCAGCAGAGGGAATTGAGTGGGGTGGTGGAGCCTGTCACTGGACTGTCAGACCCCTGTCTGTAGGAGTGCAGGGCTGCTGGGCGCTGCTGGGTTTGCGCAAGTCATTGCTGTCCCAGTCCTTAGAGCCACTCTTAAGAGCCTGCTGGGCTGGGCTCTCCTCCTGCCCTGGAGGTCTTGTGGTCCAGAGCTAGGTCCAACCTACCAAATGCCCATTATTTGGAAACAGCTGTTAATTCTTTAGTTCTGTTAATCCCTCTGCAGTGTCCTAATGTACATTGTTCCCAGTGAAGGGGCAGATGGGTGTGAGGACCCTCTCTGATGCTCCCCCGTGTCCACACAAGGAAAGAAGAGGCTGCTCAAGCACATCTTGATCCTTGGCAGAACCAGCATCTGCAGTCTGGGACTGCCATGGGCCTGGACATCACATGTGCTGAAACCTGATGTTCCTGATACCAGACCTGCTTGCAGATAAAAGTGGGACTGGAGGTTTGGGAGGATTGCTGTTCTGTGCAGCAGGTGGGGTTTTTGGGGTTGGGTGGTGGAGTGTTGCTTTCTTTTTTTTTTTTTGTCTTAAGCGATCTTGGCAACCAGGCATTTTTTCTCATTTTTGTCAGTGCACTTCTCTGATTCTGTGCGTGGGAAACTGAAGTTGAACCAAGCATCTGCTGCTGTCTATGTTTGGAGATGGGACATGAAAGATACTTTAGTCTGATCCATTATGTCCCTACCTCTGAACATCTCCAGCTCACCTGCTCACCACCCTCCTGGGGCTGCGAGTACTGGCAGTGCCTGCCAGTTGCTCCAAAGAGAAATTTTTTGTCAAGGAAATGATTATAGCCTCAGGTGAACACTAAGCAGGGAATAAAGGTGTGTTTCCACTCCTGTGTATATTTTTATGTACATAGGGGCCATACATAACAGCATTGGAAGTGAGTTAAATTGCAGGCAGCTCAAATCGGGGTGTTCAGTTCTCCACTGCATCAGGGTCCCTTTTCTGGAGGGCTGGGAAGCAGGAGACAGGTTGTGTGAAGCTCTGCACCGATTTGTCTGGTTGAGAGAGACTTGGCAACACTATTTGGGGGCTGTTTGTACTGACAGCTCTGGTGTTCTCTGTCGGGGCTGCTCAGCCCAGAGCAAAGCTGCAGTGTGCCTGAGCCCAGGATTGCTCGCTCCAGGCTATAAATAACCTTCCCAAGTCTACAAAGGTTCTCCTCTGAAACAGTGGCATATTTCTGCCATACTTGTTAAGTCAGTTCACAGGCTGCTCAGTGAAGCTCTTAGCAAAGAAAACTCCGTCGGGATTTGGCAAAGCCATGTGTGCCCAGACTGTGGGTCCCAGCTGGGCAATGCGTGGGCTCAGCAGATGCCAGGAGGTCTCAAGGAAGCAGCAATGGGGATGAGATGCTCCCAGCCCTGCTTTCTGCAGTACTCTGGTCTTGCATGTCATGTACAGCCTGTTGAGGCTGTAGCAGGTTCAGGAAGCTCAGGCCTTGCGTGGGGGGCAGCTGTGGGTGGCATGGCTGGGTGGGGAATGGAAATGAGGCAAGTGGACAGTCCTGCTTCATTGGCATGGAAAAAATTCATCCCTCCTCTGCACCCGCTGGCTCTGTGCCCTGGTGTCTCTGCTGCAGAGTCACCTGCAGCAAAAGTGTCTCCCCTTTTCATGTGAGCCCTGTTTTGGCTGGGGAGAGGGGAGGATTGGGAGTGGTGTATCTGGCTCTGGTGGGTGCTATGTCTGGTCTTGGAACCCCCAGAGCTCTGTATTTCTGGCACTCAAGCCCCCCGACAGCTCATAAAGAGGGCAAGCGCTGCTAGGACCAGCAGATAATAATCACTGATACCCTTAAGGGTTCAGCCTGAGCAGTGCTGCATGGTGTGAGGGTCCCTGTGTTAATTAATGCCCAGTGTCCGTGAGCATAGCTCTGGATGGGTCTGACATAGCTCCTCAAAATACCTGGCTGCCAGGGCTGGATGCACCCTGTTGTCCCCAGGGTGCAGAGCCCTGCTAAGGAAGGACTGGGCAAGGCTAGAGGTCCAACGCTGAGCAGAGCACCCGTCGGATGGAAAGCCAGGGCTTTTTTCCATTGAAGTCAGCTGGCATCAGGAATTTTCCATCCCTTTTGGCCTCTGAGCCTGTACCACCGCAGTCTGAGTAAACTTCCCCCCTTTCCTCCCAGTGAGGCTGGGTGTTCCTGGGGTGCAGGGCAGAACCAGGGCCGTGCCAGCCCAGACCCTTGGCTCCCCGGGCTGAGGCCATGCACAGGCAGCTGGAGAGCAGGAACACTGGGACACCAAAAGTCCTGGGAATTGGATTTCTCCTTGCTTGCTTTCCTTGACGGCAGCAGCCCAGGGAGAAACCCTTATCAGCTAGTCTGCAGACAGGCTGGGTGTTCCCCAGGCAAGGGGGAAATAAAGAGCCTTCAGATTTCGGGGCACCTGGCTGGGAACTGGTGCCTGAGCACTTTGTCCCTTGCTTCATGGTACAGCTATGTGCCACGGGGCCAATGTCCCAGTATGTGCTGCAGCCTCAGGCTGCCCTGGACTCTTCAGGAATCTGGGGACCCTCACACCCTGTATCTGATGCCTCACACCTGGCTGCTGGTACCTGGGTGCAGGACCCTCTGCTTGGACGAGGCTCTCCTGGCCCTGAAGATGGATGGCTGTGTAGCTCATGGTGTGATGCCCCAGGCTGGGGTTGGTGCCAGTGTGTCCCCACTGCCTGTGCTGCCCTGCTGCCTTCCTGCAGGCTCTCTGCAGAAGCAGTGGCTCCCCATCTGTGGCAGAGTCTCTGGCTCAGGGTGGCTTTCAAAGCTGGGAACCCAGCAGCCAGCCAATCCAGGCACCCCTGTAAACTGGGGATGATTCAGCCCTGACCTTTGCACGCTGTATTGGGCTGTCGGAGCAGCAATGTGCCTCCCTCAGGAAGGCAGCAGCTCCTCTCCGGGGAAGGCTTTGGCTGCCCACCTCTGCCCACCACCAGTCTCATCAACACCCCTTCCAAGGTGTCCCCTGTCAGAGACGCGATCGGCCTTCGGTTTTCCAAAAATATCTGCCACCTGCTGTCACAGAAAAAGCAGCTTCTCAAGAAAATTCATTTCTGACAGTGCAGAAAACGAGCAATATTAAATGGCCTCAAGGAATAACGAGAAACTGAGTGACTTGTGCAAACAGTCCTTTGGCAAAGTGCTCCCCTTTGTTTTCTGTTTAAAAACCAGAATTTTTTTCTCTGGCATTTCCCCGAACTGGACAGGTCTTTTGTAAGTCATGGGCAGAGGGTGCATGGTGTGGGCTGTGTCTGGGGGCCCCTTCCTGCCATGCCTGGGCCAGAGGGGAGAGCCTGCTTGCATGGGACAGGGTCAGCAAGCAGTATCCCTTTGGGTGCTGTGACAGCCACATGTGCCATGGCAGGGAGAGGGACTGCCCTTTCTGGGGGCTGTGGAAGGCTGGATGGAAGGCTGGATCCCACACGTGGGGATGAGGAGCAGCAGGGCACGCAGGGTACCAAAACACCTTACAAAAGAGATTCTTTGTGCTGGCATCACAGCCTGCAGCAGTTCTGGCCATTGGCAGTGTGAGGGCTGCCTTTGTGGGGCTGCCAGGGTGCCTGTTAGACCAGGGACCCCCTCAGCTGCCCATTCACCAGCACTCCGAGTGGGTGGCCTTTCTTCTCCTAATTGGGCTGAGGAGGAGGGGGCAGCCCAGGACTGCCCTCCCCACCTTCAGAGCTTGGGGATCGGTGACCTCCTAATCCCGCTTGGCTCTTGGGTGCAGCTGGGGGCTCCATCTCTGTGCCCCCATCCCGTGGTGAGGCTGTGGATCTGGAGGTGATTATTTGGAAAAGCTGCATCCTGTATTTGTACATATGGTTTTCCCTACGATTCACGGCAGCTTGGGGAGGGTGGGTTCTTTCATGGGTTTATTTTCTTTGTTAGCCCTTTCCCACAGCTTTATTTTCTTTCCTTTTGTCTTGGGCACCTTCCTTTCTCCTCCCTGGGCTCAGCCTCGGCTCTGCTGCCTCCCTTTCCCGTGTGGTCAGCCTGCTGGCATGGATACCTGCCCAAGCCCTGGGAAATCATCCCCTGTCGGGACCAGGACCACCGCCACTTGCCTGGCAGCTCGCTCCAGGCACGATTATGTTAAAGGAAGGCAAAAGCCTGTGCCTGGGAGTCCCCGTGCTTGGGAGTTTCTGGGACTCCTGCTCTGTGAGAGGGGCAGCTCAGTCTCAGTTTTGGGGTGGGATGAGGGGGATGTATTGCACTGTGAAGGGTCTGGCTGCTTTGCTGATCCTTACCTTTGCCTCACCTGCATTTTCCCACACCTTTTCCCATAATTAAAGTCTGTGCTGTGTGTAGGAGGGCTGGAGGAGAGTGGAGCAGGAGTGGCCCTCAGTACACTTATCACCTGTAAATCACTAGAAAATACAGGTGGTTTCTCAGGCCACCCCTTCTCCTCACCTGAGAAATGGTTTAGCTGAAAGGCCAACCCCCAAGTTCACATTTTTGGGGGATACTTACCACATTGTGAAGGGCTACTTTTCTGCAGTGCAGTTCTCATGTGCGATTTCTGCCCTGAAGGCAGAAATAATCTGGGGAGTCTTTGTCCATCTGTTGAGTTTTGTGAAATGTGCAAAAAATACCTGCCTCCAGAATGGAGGGAGAGGGGGTTGTTTTTGGAGCTGTGAGCACAGTAATTGTGTGAAGTGAGCCCACACTGGGGCTCGATATGCCGTGGGCTCTGGTGGGAGCAGCCACAGGATATGGGCTGCAGCAGGATGCCCTGGATCCCAGGTTTGGTGAGCAAAAGTGAATCCTGCATAGTTTGCGACCTGTGCCCATTGCTTTGGGTACATGTGAGCATGGGCCGGAGGGAGCAGCTGAATAACAGGACATAGATAGGACAGCATTGAGATGGCCCTACTGCCGGTGCTGTTTCCCAGGAGGCCTATCCAAGAAGGCAATGCCCAGCTCAAGGTGATGTCTGCTTTCTGCTCCATCACTTGCTTACAGGGCACCCCAGCCCTGCCAGGCTCACACATGCAGTTGTGGGCACGAGGTTGTGGTTGGCAGCCAGAAGGTTGGCATTGCTGGGATTCATGTGGCCGTGGGAAGCAGCAGTAGGTATGGACATCTTCTGCCTAGCTGCCACTGCTTGCTCTGTCCTTGGATGTGGCTGTATTCTGCACTTGCCTGGGGAAGAGAAGTGCAGGGGAAGGAAAGTGATTACCCTTCTAGTGGCAGTGACCTCATGGTGTCAGGAATAGCTGGAAGAAGATAGGCATCCTCTGGCTGCAAAAGTCTGTCCTTCTCCTCGTGTAAGCTAAGAATCTCTCTTCCCTGGGTGGTCCCTGTCAGAAGAGCAGCATGGGGAGGCTCGATGGGAGGTGCTGTGCAGCAGAGATGCTTTCCTGGCAGGGGAGGATGGGGAAAGCTTCTGCCTTAGGTGCTGCATGGTGGCCGTGTTCAGGGCGCTGGCTGCCTCAGCTCTGCTCCTCAGCTCCCACTTTTTATTGATGGTTTCCAGACTTTATATAAGAAAAGGGAATCGATTGATATCCAAGATGCTTCTCCCAATACGACCCAACCTCTGAAGGGGTGGAGGACTCTGTGTAGGGGATGTGGCTGCGGGCTGACCCAGACCTGTGTGTTGCAGCCAGGGGCTGTGGTCTGGGCAGTTCGTGCCGCGTGTGCCGGCAGTGTGCACCGTGGGCTGTAATTCCTGGTTACGTAAAGCTGCCCTGTGCCGCGGCAGCCTGCACGGCATGTGACGGACATGCCAGCTGTTTGGTGTTTATTTTTATATCCTCTCTATTCACATCTCTCAGCACTGACTGCCCGGCGCCGGTCACTGGACACCTGCCCCCGTCTCCCCCCAGGCAGGAGCTGTGCAGCTGCAGATGATCTCGCCGAGCCAGTGGGCTTGTAGGGTTGGCAAGGAGGGCTCTCAGAAACACAGAGCACTCTGAGTTTTTGTCCCAGAGGGCTCTCTGGGACAGCACACACAAAAAGCCCAGGTGTGGTTATGCAGCCCCCATGCCATGCCCTCCATAGAGGTGGTATCAGCATCCCAGCAGAGAGGAACTGGAAGTCCCATAGCAATGCTGGGTGAGAAATAACCCCTCTCCACAGCCTCTGCCTGCACGGTGATCCCTGAGCACAGGTTCAGACACTTAGGCACCTATCTCAGCACTGCTGCTTGAAACCAGTGACCTGGGCTTTCATGGTGTCGGTAGAGGTTGTGCCCATATTCACAGGAACACGTAGCCTTGCTGGGTTTAGTGCCCGCGCTGCGCTGCCGAGGGTTACGTCAGCCCTTGTGTTGAGATGAAGCGTGGGAGCACAGGGGGCTAGTAAATAGGCTCTAAACGCTTTTCTTCCAACTACACGTTTTTAGTGCTCAGCATTGACTCTTCATGGCTTGTCTGTTTTCTGATCCTTCTTCTGAATCTGCCCTCTTCCATTTTATTTTTAAAAAGGTTTTTGTTCGGTGTCGCTCCGTGCTGGGTCGCAGTGGCGCTGCCTTTGGTCCCCTTTGAATAGCAAAGCGGCTCCTTTATTCTGGAGGCTTGGCCTGGAGGCTCAGCATTGCTGCAAAAACAGCCATGGGTTTGGCAGGGCTGTAATTAAATAATGAAGGGCCTGTCACAGGACAGGTTGGCCCAGCTATTTTAGGGATATTCCAATATCCAGGTCTATAAGAAATGACTCAGTGCAGCTGAGGGGATATTCGCTTATGCCTATATGCTTTGATCATGGCCTAGATGAGTGAGTCCTCCTGGCCTGATCACTGATGTTATTTTACTGCTGGAATAAGGGCTGCTGAATCCTTGAATTGGTGTGGTGAGGGAACAGCTTCATGCTGGGAGGCGTGCAAGGATTCGGGTGCAGCAGGCAAAATGCTGCCCATTCCCCAGAAGTGACCGTGGGTTCTCTCCAGGGATACCATCAAGGCCGTGGTGGAACGATGAGGGTTTAGTGCTGTGGGAATTCAGCTGATCTCCTCTTTCTTTCCCTGCAGTACATTGGGAGCCTGGATGTGCCACGGCCAAACAGTAGGGTGGAGATCGTGACAGCTATGCGGCGGATCAGGGTGAGTATGGGAAGGATGCTCCTTCCTCTTCTGTCGGGGTGGCAAGGGACACTGCTCATCCATCTCCACTTGCAGCTTTGATTGCAGAAATCCTATTCTCCAAGTTATTCACAACTGTATTTTTCACTGTCCTTCTCTCCATTGGTATCTCTGTGTAACCCAGGCACAATGCCTGTAAGCTCCATGTGCCACAGCGTCGCATTTGCAGCATCTCCAGCGCTGTCTGTCCCCCGTGGTACCCAGGCATCCCATGTGCCATGGCTGGGGTTAGCTGCAGCCCCAGCTGTAGCAGGGCTGTCTCCACACTCACGGTGCTGCATCCTGTGCAGGAGCATGTGCTGTGGAGGCAGGGATGGAGTGGAAGGTAGATGCGGGATATGATGCTGCAGGCACTGGATGGTAACTGTAGCATGTCCGTGATTGCAACAATGTCCTCATGTGTCAATCGCAATAAGAAAGTAACAACAAGCTGCTTGGGGAAAGGGCACTTCTGGGTTTTACTGCTTGTATAGGCGTTTCAGCTGCACGAAAACTCGGGTGCTGCCTGGATATGGCAGCAGGTTAGTGCCTGGTAAATGACAATGTGCAAATTAAAGTGCGGAGTAACAAGGTCTGGGGCTAGCCAGCAGTGAGCTTGTTTAACAGCTAGTAGGTCAGGGGATGTCATCTGGTAATGAAGTCATCTGACTTCCCAAAATACTTACAGTCAGGATACGGGGCGCTCTTGCTGTATAATGCTTGGCCAATAGCCAGGAGAGGAGCTTTCCTTCTGGTCCCTGGCCTCTTGCCTGCACAACTGGAAGGTGTTCAGGACAGGCTGGAAGGGGAGTAAACCCCCCATCCCATGAGCTTGCTGCCCCCACACTTAAAACAGCAGGAGCTTGACTGTTCTTAAGGCACAGAACAGCCCTTTGGGCTGGGGTTGGACCTTGGTGTGGTGTATGTGGCCACAGGCACAGGAATTTGGTCTGTCAGTGGGTCACAGCAAGGGTCTGCCCTGCCTTCCAGGGATGGCTCGCTATTGCGAATAACACTCTTAACTGGAAGGACCTGAGGGCACTTGCAGGGATGTTGGCTAATGGATGAGCTGTCTTTCTCGTGGCCTCATGGGATTCTATAAGCACTGGACCTACTCTTGTCACTGAGCAGCCCTACCAGGGCTCTGCTCCTCTCAGCCCCTCTTGCAGACTCTTGCTATAATCTCGTTTTCTCTTTCCTTATCACCAGAGGAGAAGAGTATCATATCTCAAGGCAAGGAGTATCATATCCCAAGGACACAGATTGCAAGGCTCTCCTGTTTCAAACTTTCAGAGTGTAAATAGTTTGTGGGCTTTCCTCAACAGCTTCCCTACCTGCTGCCCTGTCCTCTCTGTGGTGGTTAATCTTGTGACTGGTGCACAAACTGGGAAGTCCTTTATGGCATTAGGTTTGCCCACCTTGTTTCCAGACGAGGCTTGGGTCAGAACAACCATTACGCCATCGAAAGCTCTTATAAACAGCAGTTTCCTCTGTGCCTTTCAAGATAAGACTTTTGAAAGAATGCAGCTCCAGCCCCAAAATTCCAGAACTCCACCTCAGTATGGATTGGCACAACTCTGAGGGCTTAAGTAAACCCTAGGGGAAAAAATCCGCAGCAAAACATCCTTGTTGACCAATATAAATAAACTTAAGCACAGTCTAGAAAATTCATAAATAAAGCTCTGAATGGCGGGAAAAGAAGGCAAAATGGGGTAAAATAATGATTTCTTGTGCTGAGTAATGTGCTTGGAATGTGTGCTCAGGCTTCCTTCATCTAGTGTAAGACAGGAGAGGTGCAAGTATTTGAAAGGCCATGACTTTGCAGATCTGATCTGCCAGAAAGACTTTTAATGTCTATTTATTTGTCATGGGGTGCTATTTGTGGGGAGGATGCCAGGGTGGTTTGTTTGATGGATGTTTATGTGTCTAGCCCTCCCCTGGTTTCCCGTGCTTTGTGCTGGCTGCACACCTGGCAGCAGGACACACCGCAGCATTGCAAGGGCATTTCTGGCTGGGTTGGGTGCCAGGGGCTGGCTTCAGTTTGGCTGCAGGTCAAGGAATGCATGTCCTTCTTAAAGAACACAGCTACCCTTCTGCTTTAAGGAATAACATAATCCCAAAATATTGGCATGGGGAAAACAGAGGAGGAAAAAGGTTATTTAGGCACAGAAAACAAGCAGTGGGAGATCACCAAGTGTTCTGTGTGTGAGGTGTGAAACAGCTGCTGACCCTGAGGTTTGTGTGGTTTTTAATGCAGTCCCTGGTTTAGGGAAAAAGTGTTCTGTCCCAGTTTGTTCCAGGTTAGTCGCTGCTGGTGAAGGAGGGGGCCCTCACCATCCCCGCTGCTTCTGCAACTCCCCTTTCTCAGTGCTGCCTTTGCCGCAGCTGCTCACTGGGCTTTGCCCTGTTTACTAAGTGATAAAAATCATGATCTTGCAAAGAAGTGAGGAAGCTCCCTGCCTGACAGTAGGGATCTCAGTGGGGAGAGAGCCCTGGAAACCCTCTGTGACTGCCTGTGCTGTGCTGGGGGCAGGGAGGGACAGGGACACCAGCACCTCCTGCAGCGCTGCCTGCCCTCTCCGCCCCCACACTCCAGGCCTGTCAGATCCTGGCTTCCTGTTTAGATGGAGACCTGACCCTTTGGGGGCACAGAGGAGGACACGGCATAGCCAGCATTGCTGGGATGCCTGCTCGGGGCGGACTCTGCCGCCCTCTCCCACTCTGCAGAGCAGAGTGATGGTGTGGGCAGGATGGCTCCACCTGAGCTAGAGGTGTACATTACGCCCAAATCTGGTCCCTTTGGTGGATCTGAGTTGAGAGGGACTTTAAAGAAGGGGTTGATGTTGCATGGCAGTGATGCCATCCCCTTTCTCCCCACTGCTGAAGGGCTGGTGATGCCATGGCTATCCTCATAGTGCTGGCTGGAGGGAGAGTTTCTGTCCAGTGGCAGGAGGATGTGGAGAATTCACAGGATTCTCAGAGCACAGGGCAAGGAGGGATGGGGGAGGTGCTCCGCTGACTGTCTCTGCTTTCCTGCTTTTCCTGCCTGCATTGACTGGGCTTGCTGGGGACACAGCCCCATCTGCTCTGTGTCATGGTGCAGGTCCCTTGCCCTGAAAGGACTCAGTGGAATGGGACCTTAGCCATGCCAGGGATGCACTTGGACAGCAATTTTGTGAGCAGTTAATGCAGCTTTCCTCCAAAGCCTGTGTCTTTCCTGCAGAGCACTGATGGCCATGTCAGTACCAATAAATACAATTGACCAGGGCATGCTTTCTGGGCAAGTGGCTGGGCTTATGTTAGTACAACTGACCCCCTTATCCTCCTCATCCCAAGGATGACCCAGTCCATGTTTCTTCATGCCCTAAACTGTTGGGGTAGGTTGGCTTTCAAAATGCTCCTTGGCTGCTGTGGATGCAAGGTGTGAGGAATTGATCTGTAAGTCCAGATAATTACCTGTGGGTACCTGACCATGAAAAGGTCCCAAAGTCAAGAGTAGTTAAGCAGTTGTTAGAGCTGCAGCCAGCCTGTCCCTTGGTGCAAGCCCGTGGGACCATCCTTGCCCAGGCTCTCTGGGAAGCAGCAGCACCGAGGCCACAGTGCTCTTTGCTCTGTGCTGGTCATGGGCAAAGCTGGAGAAATTTGAGTGGGAGCTCATGGGTCTGTCAGTTACCAGAGAGGGTGTTATGGTACTGCTACTCTTCCCTTCTCTTCTCGGGGCACTAAATGACAATGCCAACTGTGTACTTTTTATGTTGTGATGTAAATAATTGCAAATGCTTTCCTTTCCGTGTCCCTGGCATGTCTCCAGTGCAGTCAGTGCTACCTGACTGGGGCTTGGTGCTTTTGTTCTGAGAATTTGGTAGAGAATTTGAGAATAGAGAATCTGCTAGAGAATTTGGAATCAGCCTTTTCTTGCTACTTGGCTTGCTGAGTATAGCTTTAATCCAGGTTTTCTTTGGAGCCAGAAAGGATGAAATCCTATATAGGCACTTCTTAAAAGCTGCTTCTGTGGAAGACTTTTGCAAGCCTGTTTCTGGGAAGCGTCCATCTGAGTTCTGCAGGCTTGAAACAGGGAGACATTCCAAGCTCTTGAAAATCTCTCTCGTCTACACCTCCTACTCTGTCAGGTACATCTGATTTTGTGGGACTTCTGCTGCTTTGCATAGCTGAGCTCAATTTTAGCAAATTGGCTAAATTGCTGAATTTCAACAAGCTTGTTTGAAGCAAGATTTTGCATCCTCTGCAGGCCACAGGCACAGTCGGACTGGTGTGAAAATTGATGCATTTGGCCAGTTATTTGTGTAGAGCACCTGGTGTAATTTTGAGCTCATTTAATTAAAATATTTCTGAGATACCCCTGTTCCTGCCACGGTGAGTTTTTAAAAGCATTATGTCATTTACAGTGATGCTTTCTGGTTTTCCTTTATTCTTCTTTTCTTTCTTTCACCATGCAAGGAGCAGCATGTCTGTCCCTGCCATAAAATGGAGCAGGATTTGGGAGCAAGCTGGCCCTGTGTCCCTGAGCCCTGCCCACTCCTGCCTGCCTGTGGGGACCAACACAGTGGGCAGTGGGCAATGGGCTGTCCAGGATATGCTCAGGCATTGGCCACCTAAAGGGCACAGGCTGCTTCTTGCCAAGTCACTGTACTCAGTGCAAGGTGAATTATCGACAGTCTAATGACTTGACGTGATTATTCAAGATGAACAAGATTATGTTGTATTAGATCTGGGAGGAACTGAAAGGATATCTGTAATAATTTCAATTGCTCTTTCAGTGTTCTGTCAGTCGCAGTAAATTGATAAAGGCTTCTGGGCAAGCTCATTGTATTTCTTCTGGCATCACCAGTGCCACTTAATGTCATAATAAAATAATGGCTAGTTTGGTATTGCTACCAACATGCCACCTACTTGATGGCATGAAATAGGTCAGGATCTTATCCTGTGGTTAGTATTTAATCAATAAACTGATTAAATTCGTA